CCTCCGCCTGGGCCTGGCGGCCGCCAGGTGCGCCGGGACTTCGGGGCGCACCGCGCGCGCCATCCCCGCGCCGGTCTCCATGGTGAAGGAGGCGGGGCCTCAGAGAAAGTTTCCGCCGAAACTCAAACCGGGTCGCGGAGGAGGACAGCTCGCCCTTGGGGATCTCCTTTCGCTGCCGGTTGGGGGAAGGCGGGCAGCTGCGCCGCAGCCAACCGCTCCGTTTCTTGCTGCCCGGGGCAGACGGCTGCCAGCGCGCCCCCCACACGCTCGGGCTTCCCTCGCTCGAGCCTTTCATTTTTCCCTGAGGTTCGGGCTTAAAATGCAGTCTCTAGGCCCATGACAAGACGCTCACCTATGTCTAGCGACAGGCCCCCGAACTGAGCAGGGGCGAGCTGGGCTCAGCAGGCATTCGTGGTGTGCCAGGACGAGGGTCTAGGGCCTGTTCCCTTTTGCTTTTTAAGGGCAGTCGCGTTCGTGGAGGTGGTCGTGAGTTCGGGAGCATGTGCACTTGTGTAGGGGACACAGGTTGCCTGGCAGTGCTCCCCAATAAACCAGGGCTCGGCTCTCAAGATCAAACTCATCCAGCTCAGAACAGGTGCTGAATCCGTGTCCTTTCCATCCTGGTTGATGATGGAGTGGCACCGCTGGGTCGCCTTCCTCCCAGAGCGCAGCTCCTGACCCTGACAGCGAGCCCTGTGCCCTGGCGACCGCGCTGGGCTGCACCGCCTTCTCTGTGTCCCACGCCCCAGGCATTCTTGGGCCGCGAAGTCCTTTCTGGACTTTAAATCCCGGAGAAAGAATCAGAAACTTGGTTGCAGGCTCGCTTGGCATTTCAGGCCTGTGGTTGGTGTGGTTGAAACTTGAGGTAAGCCTCAACGCAAGCGGGTGGGGCCGCTGCTCAGTTTGCAAAGACAGACCTGGAGATTTGCCCCTACAGCGGCATCCATCTGCTGGCGCGTTCCCAAATCCGTCTTTGGAGGAAGTCTTCCTTCTGGATGAATGGCACCCCGAGACACTCCAAATCAGGTATATCTAGTTTCAGTGCTCTCTTACAGCCGTGGTCGTGGAGGGTGCCAACTGACTCCCATCACCCTTCTGCTTGGGGATGGCAGCAGGAGCGCTGGCCCGGCCTGCCTCAAGCTTCTCCCGGGGTTCACCAACCTTCGGCCTGTGGCAGGTGCAGTCACTAAGCACTGATTTCTGCATAGCGGGTCACCCTGGCCTTCTCTACCAAGGGAAGGTGTGCAGTTGTTCTCCCTGTTCAACAAGTACTCACCAAGTGAATTTTTGCGTGTTATGCACTCTTCTAGGGGTGGAGGAGACAGCAGAGAACAAAAAACAAAAGTCCTAGCCCTGGTGGAGAGTGTCACCCCAATGGGAGAGACGTGATAAATAAGGAAGGTGTGTGGCCCACCAGGAAGGTGTGTGGCCCACCAGGCAGGTAGTAAAAAACTAAGCAGAGACAGTCCAGAAGAAGGAGGAGGGTGATTTGGGTTTTAGTTTTGCTATAAGGCAGGTATGTTTCACAGAAAGAGAAAGCAAGAAAGCATCCCCCTCAGGGGGAATGGCCACTCCACAATCCCTTTTCCATTCTCCTCTTGGGATTTTGGGCACACCAGCACACGCACCCGACGTGATTTTCAAGCCTTCAGATGTGGACTACAGGGGTGCAATAGGCATCCAGGCACTTTAACCCCATGGCTGGCTCCAGGGTGATTTTTTTTTTTTTAAATCAAGTGATCAAGGAAAGTCTCTGGAGGAGGTGACATTTGAGAAGAGACCTGAGGAAGAGAGCCAACTGGATGGCATGGTGGTTGTGGCAGCTGGATCCCACATGGCTGATCACACAGTGCCAGTTCTGGACCCAGTGGCTTGAGAAACACACTGGGTGTGTGTGCATGCCCAGAATCCCAAGAGGAAAATGGAGAAGGGATTGGAATAAGCCATCCTCCCAGGGGAGGGGGTTGATTTCTCACTTTCTCTCTCTAGCGAATGTGCATGCCCTATAGCAAACTAAACAAACAAACCAACCAAAATCAAGACCTGAGGAAGGCCAGGGAGCGAAGCATCAGGGCGGACAATTTTGCAGGTAGAAAGCAGGGCAGATGCGGAGACAGTGGGGCAAGCGCCTACCTGATAACCCAGGAGTGGCCGGGAGGGCAGGTGGGGATGGAGAAGCTAAAGTCAGAGAAGGAAGAGGTGAAGCTGACGCAGATCGGGTGAGCCTTCTCCTCTGAGCGAGTTGGGAGTCATCAGGGGGTTTTATGTATTAACATGGCATCTTCTGACACATTATAATAGAATTATTTACCCTGCTGGGCTGAGAACAGACAGTAGGAGACAAGGACTGAAGCAAACGGACCAGTTAGGAGGCTCTGGAAATAGCCCAGGAGCAAGAGGCTTGGGCCAGAGAGCAGCAGACATGAGTTGGTCACTTTCCTCACAGATCAGAGGCCAGAGAGGAAGGAAAGGAGACAGCGTGGACTCTGGGCCAAAGGCTGGAGGTTCCAGACAGAGCAAGGCGGGGGCCGGCCCCATGGCCTAGTGGTCAGAGGAGCCGGATCCTACGTGACCGACCATGTGGTTGGAATCCTGGCCTGGTGGCTTGACAAACATTAAACCTGTGTGTGCATGGGAAACAGGCAAAAATCTCAGCAAGATGGAGAAATGGAGAGGGGATTGCAGTGCGACCATGCCCTGCCAGGTGTGTTTTCTCCCTCTCTGTGTCAAGTGCATGCACCCTCAAGAAAACAGAAAGAAAAGAAAAAGAGAGAGAGAGAGAGCAGGTTAAGTGTAAAATCAAAACAAGGAAGAAAGGACACATAATGTGAATGACCCTAAATGCCAGCCTTGGGCAACATAGCAAAACCCTGTCTAAATTTAAGAAGAAAAAAATACATATATAAAGAATAGCCATGGGGGCTGGCAGGTGGCGTGGTACTTGAAGGCGCTGGACTCCCACATGGCTGGCCACGGTTCGGGTCCCAGACCTGGTGGCTTGCTTTCTTACTTTTCCTCTCTCTCTCACTCTGTTCCTCTCTGGATGAATTAAATAGCAAATAAATACAGTTGAATAAAATTTTTTTTTAAATAGCCATTACAGTGTCATTCAAATGTAGTGAGAACTCTCCTAAGTATTTGGGGAAATAAAGTTATGATGAGCAATATGTGCTATGGTACAGTCACATTGTGATATTCCAGGCAAACATTAAAAATGGCATTGTTGGACCTGCCAGTGGCATAGTAATTAGGGCAGCTGAATCCCACATGGCCAACTGCACAGTTCAAGTCCCAGACCTGGAAGCTTGAAAAATCATACCAGGTACACGTGCATGTGTGCCCCAAATCCCAAAAGGAGCGATGGAGAAGGGATTGCGGTGTGGCCATCTCCCATGGTGGTCATGGTGGGGTGGTGATGGGGGTGCTTTCTCACTTTCTCTATGTCTAGGGCACATATACTTCTAGCAAAATTGAAACATATTAAAAGTGATATTGCCAAGGGCCAGATTGTGGTGTAGCAGCAATGCGACTACGCCCGTGTGGGAAGGTCCTCAGTTCTGGCCCCCAGCCCTTCCTATGTACACCAGATGTGGGCATGCCCCGGACCCATAAGCATAGGCTAGCATGGATGGCAGCATGCTGGAGGTTCCTGTCTCTGTCTCTTACTTTTTGTATCTCTCTCTCTCTTGGAAAAAATAAGTAAACTTAAAAGTAGAGAATAGTGTTGAAAAATATCTGCCACATGGAAACATTCACAATATATTATTGTATAAAATAAGCCTATGTCAAAATCATCTATAAAGTTATTTTTACAAATGTTAATGATTATACTGGGATGACAGCTTTTTTTCTTTTTCAAAGAATTACTTATTTAATTTCATTTATTATGATTTGTTCTAGAGCATGTGCACTCCCCAGAGAGAGAGAATGAGAGAGAGAAAGTGAGAAAGCAAACTGCTAAGCCTTCAACCACAGTCAGCCACATGGGAGTCCAGCACCTTAACCACCACGCCACCTGCTGGTCCTGGGATGACAGTTTATTTGTATTCACTCTGCTTTCCTCTTTTTTTTTTTTTGGAGAGGTTTTTGCTTTTGGGCACCTGCGCTCACCAGACAGACAGAGAGAGACAGAGAGACAGAAAGCGAGAATCACCCCCCAGGGGGGATGGCCACGCCGCAATCCCTTCTCCTCCATTCTCCTCTCAGGATCTTGGGCACGCACGCACACGCGCCCAGCGTGAGTTTAAGCCACCGGGTCCGGGACGCTAACCGCAGTCGACTACATGGGAGTCCAGCGACATAGCCATTACGCTAACTGCTGGTCCCACTCTGCTTTCCTCTTGTTCCCAAGGTTTGTGCCAAACGAGAGTATCAGTTTCTCTCCTGAATGAAATTGCCGAATGATACACTATGTGATGAGATTTAGTTGCTACTACCACTGTGGTTTCTATGTCCCTGCCAAGACTCACACTGAAGCTTAATCTCTAGTGTGACTATATATGCATGCACATATATATGTATATATGTGTATATATATATATATATTTTTTTTTTGAGAGAGAGAGAGGTATTTGCTGTAGGGCATGTATGTTCGCTGGAGACAAAGAGACAGAAAGCAAGAAATCATCCCCCAGGGGGGATGACCATGCCACAGTCTCTTCTCCTTTCTCCTCTCAGGATTTTGGGCACACATGCACACACTTCCAGGGTGAGTTTAGAGCTACTAGGGTTGGGACTCAAACTGCGGTTGGCAGATCCTCTTGGGATCTTGGGCACGCATGCACATGTGCCCGGTGTGAGTTTAAGCCACTGGGTCCGGGACTTGAACCACAGTCGGCTACATGGGAGTCCAGTGATGTAGCCATTCCGTTACACCAACTGCTGGTCCCTGGAGCAGCGTATTTTTTAAAAGGCCATTGGCTCCAGCCTACTGCTTTCGAAGTTAAAATAATTAAGGGAGAGCTGAAAGTAAGTATGTTGGTTATAAATGTCTCTACTTGTAACATAATGTCAACCTTTCTAATCTGTATTTCTCGTGTTATTTATTTTTACTCTCTTCAGGGTATGCATAGTTACGTATAGTGCTTTAAAGACTTGAAATGAGACATTTTTCATGCACAAGCCAGATAAGAGTCCCCTCGCTTTATCTTTTTTTTCTTTTTTTTTTTGGGGGGGGTTGGGAGAGAAAAAGAGAGAGTCAGCCTTTTTGACAAGGTCTCACTGTGTCACAATCCTTCTGCCCCAAGCATCTAATTAGACAGCAGGCAGAGTCAACCACACCCGGGATGTTCCGGTTACTCCAGAAGCCAAACCTGGGCTTCCCGTGTGGCTCCCAGCCTCCCAAGCAGTGGCACGGCCTGTGTGCCACCCAGCTGTGCCTCTTTTTCTTTTTTATTTTTAAGAAAGGATTTCTCTGTGTCATGATCTTCCTGCCACAGCCTCCCAAGCAGCTGTAGACCATGCGTGCACACGACCACACGCAGTTCTTTCAGACAGTCTCACTCTCTCACTCTTGCCCAGGCCGACTTCAAGCTCGAAGTCTTCCTCGCTCAGCCTCCGAGTAGCTGGAGCTATAGGTACAAGCCGCCACACCCCACACACCTCACTTTCAGGGGCGTGTCCCAAAGTCAGACTCGGCCTTCCACGTGGCCTCAGTCTGCTGAGTGGCAGTGACCGACATCACATGCACTACCAAGCCCAACCTCTTTATTATTATTTATTGATTTTAGAATTTTGCTTCAGGGCGCATGCACTTAACTGGAGAGAGATAGGGAGAGGGCAAGTGAGAAATCTCCACAGGGGATGGCCACGCTGCAGTCCCTTCTCCTCCGTTCTCCTCCTGGGATTTAAGGCCTGCATGTACACACACCCAGCGTGGTTTTCAAGACCCCGGGTCTGGGACTCAAACTGTAGTCAACCATGTGGGAGTCTAGCGACCTTAATCAGCTTGCCCTCTGTGGGCCCTGTCCTCTATTACTATTTTAATAATAAAATTTAATATTAACCATCTTTCTTCCTACTTTAAAATGTAATTATATCTCAGGGACCAGCAGTTGGCATAACGGCTATGTTGCTGGACTCCCTTGCTGGCTATGTTGCTGGACACGGTTCGAGTCCCTGACCCAGTGGCTTAAACTCATGGTGGGCACATGTGCGTGCGTGCCCAAGATCCTGAGAGGAGAATGAAGAAGAGATTGCAGCGTGGCCATTCTCCTGGGGGGTGATTTCTCGCTTTCTGTCTCTCTGTCTCTCTCTTTCTGGAGAGCATACACACCCTATAGCAAAAACCTCTTCCCCCCAAAAAATGTAATTATGTCTCAAATTGTATTATGTATTTCTCAAATCATTAAAGATTGAACACACTCGAAATCCAGGATTATATGAAGAACAGGAGCCCAGTCTCTCATTAACACCCCCCGCACGCTCGGCTCCTCTCTCAGAGAGCTCAGACCTGGAGACCTTCACACCCTGAGAAGTGGACCGGGGCTGTTGCCCTGCTGGAGAAAAGCAGCAGCTACCACGTCGGGAAGGGAGTGAGTGTCTGCGGGGAAGACCTCACGCCTCTCCCTTCAATGCCCCAGCTATGTTGAAATCCTCTTCAGAGGACCTGAAGACATCAATTACACTCAGATAACATCTAAATTTAAACGATCTTCTAAAGTTGCTTCTCCTAAGAAGGACTCAGACGCGAACAATGTGTATCCTGTTAGAATATTAATCATCCTGTCAAACTCTTCTTTCTAACACACACACTAATAAAAAATAATAATAATCCATTGCTTTTGAACGGGCTTATCTGTGAAAATTAACAAGTGGTCAGGGTCTACTCCATGGACGATGGGCTTATTTATTATAACAACTCTTCTCAAACCACCTGTCTTCTCCGTTAAAGTGATTCTCTAGCACGTGAAGAGCCCAGGCTCGGAGACAGATGCCGCCCACAGACGTACATTCCAATTCCAGGCCCACCACCTGCCAACGTGTGGCCTCGGTCAAGTAACTTCATTTCTTGTGTTTCAGCTTTCTCTCTAGAAAGAAATAAAAGAATACCTACATCCCTGGACTGTAAATACACAGCGTGTGTATGTACGTGTGTGCGTGTTTCTCAGCACAGCCCAAGGCACAGGAGGACTCAGGAAATTTCATTTTCCAGGTGATTTCCAAGAATTCATCATAAACTAATTGCAAATATGCCAACAGATATATGCATAGTACAAGTATTATGTACCAGCAAGATTTTATAATATTGGGACCAGCAGGTAGTGTAATGGCTATGTCGCTGGACTCCCACAGAGTCAACCACAGTTCGAGTCCCGGACCCGGTGGCTTAAACTCACGCCGGGCACGTGTGCATGCGTGCCCAAGATCCCAAGAGGAGAAGGGAGGAGAAGGGATTGCAGTGTGGCCATCCTCCCTGGGGGGTTATTTCTCGGTTTCTGTCTCTCTATCTCTCTCTGTCTGGTGAGTGCACATGCCCTGTAGTGAAAAACCTCTCAAAAAAAAAAAAAAAACAAAACAGATTTTATAATATTTATAATATTGAGAGAGAGAAAGTGAGAAATCACCCCCCAGGGGGATGGCGACACTACAGTCCCTTCTCCTCCATCCTTCTTCAGGATCCTAGGCACGCATGCACACACTCCCAGTCTGAGTTTCAAGCCACCGGGTCCAGGACTTGAACCGCTGTTGGCCATGTGGGAGTCCAATCTCTTAACCACCACACCACCTGCTGGCCCCAATATTGAAACGTACCAGCATGACTTTACAATATTGAAACTTTGGAAACAACTATCCAGTAGGAATGAACTGAAATAAATGATGTACTATTCAAACCTAATCTACCAAGTAGTACGCTCTCAATTTTACAACGTAAGGCCTGGATGCCGTCATAGCCACAACACCCAGTTATGTGAGGAGTTGGCTGAGACAGGACCTGCCCCGAGGGCAAGCAGGCTCTGACCTCTAGCTGTGCTCCACGTGTCAAGCCGCATGCCCTCCTGCAGGGTAGCGCCCACCTAGAGGTAGGACACTTTTCCCTAAATTGTGCAAAGGAGCAGCAGGGCTCACACCAGCCAAGGGTCTATATGGACAGGAAAAAGAAATAGCAAAGCTTCAGAGCAGGCTAGCAGGTGGCGAAGTGGCTAAGATGCTGACCCGCACGTGACCAGCTCCGCAGTTCAAGTGCACACCCTGGTGGTCTGAAGGACACGTGGGCTGAGTGCATACATACCCGAAGTCTCGAGAGGAACCTGGAGAAGGGGTGAGTCACCATCCCCCCGGGGGTGGCTTCTCACTCCCTCTCTGTCTCTTTTGGTCTCTCTCCAGAGAGTGCATGTGCCCTATGGCAAAAAACCAAAAAAGTGAAAAGAAAAGACTCAGATGACAGTATTCGCACTGGTGGGGCCAGTAGATGGCATAGCAGGTACATGGCTGGACTGCCATATGGTTGATTGTCATTCCAGTCCTGGACCCAGTGGCTTCAAACTCATGCTGGGTGCATGTGCGTGTGTGCCCAAAATCCCAGGAGGAGAATGAAGAAGAAGGGATTGCAATGTGGCCATCCCCCCTCCCCAATATGGGGCCAGGAGGGTGATTTCTCAGTTTCTCAGTTTCCCTCTCACTGTCTCTGTCTCTCCCTCTCTCTTCTCTCTAGAGAGCACACACTTCCTATGGCAAAAATCTCTTTAGGAAAAAAAAAAGTATTAACACTAGTAATCATTTTTTTTTTTTTGAGAGGTTTTTGCTATAGGGCACGTGCGCTCTCCAGACAGACAGAGAGAGAGAGACAGAGAGCGAGAAATCACCCCCTGGGGGGATCGTCACGCCACAATCCCTTCTCCTCCATTCTCCTCTCGGGATCTTGGGCACACACGCACACGCGCCCGGCATGAGTTTTAAGCCACCGGGTCCAGGACGCGAACTGCGGTTGACTATGTGGGAGTCCAGCAACATAGCCATTACGCTAACTGCTGGTTCCCAACACTGGTAATCTTGAAGTACCAGAATTCCAAGAGTTACGAGGGGAGTCTTCCAAATGTTCATAAAAAAATGTGTATTTTTAAGAAACTATGCAAGGATTTCAATGTTTTTTGCACCAAAGTATATTTATCTTTAATTATATTTTTCCACAAATTTTTGAAGTATCCTAATACTTGCTTTTTTATTATAACTTTCTATATATGTTCATTATAGACGGTTTTCCAAATTTTCAAAATATTTCTACAACAAATATATATAGATTTTGTATAATAAGATAATAAAGTTTAATTTTGAAAAACAAACCAACTTAAAGAGCTATAACCAAAACTACGAGGAGACAGGGCTTCACACTCAAATGGATGACTGCTATTAAAAAATAAATAAATAAATATTAAAAAAATAAAAAAAAAACCCAGAAAATAGCTACCAGCAGGTGTCATGGTGGTTGAGGCACTGGACTTCCACAAGGTCAGCTGCAGGTGGAGTCCTGGACCCAGCAACGTCAAAGTCACTACAGATGCTTGTGTGTGTGCACCCAAATTCCCAGGAGGAGACTGGAGGAGAAGGGACTGGGAGATGACCTCCCACCTCCACCCTCTCTGTCTCTCTTTCTCTGGAGAGCACAGGCACTCCATGGCAAAAACCTAAAACAAAACAAAACAAATGGAAAGTAAGTGTTGACCAGGCCGTGGAGAAACTGGAACTCCTGTGCACTGGCGGTGGAGGTGCGAGAAGGTACAACTGCTACAGGAAACCGTAGAGCAACTCTTCAGAAAATTAAAACCAGACCCAACCTTTGTATAATACCAGACCACAAAGCTGGAACCCACATGCCACTGCAGTTCCAACGGAATGAAAAGCTGGGGCCAGACGGTGGCACGGCAGTAAAACACAACGCTCTGAGAGGCGACCCCACACGGGAAAGTCCCCAGATTGAGTCCAGAGACCTCCGTGAGTACACCACCCACACACTTGCCTATGATCCTGGCTGAAGGCTGGGCCTAAGAGTCAAGATCCTGATGGCAGTACTGTCTCTGTGTCTCTCTCTCCTGCTAATGGAATACACTTCTTTTTTTTTTGGAGAGGTTTTTGCCATAGGGCACGTGCGCTCGCCAGACAGACAGAGAGAGACAGAGAAACAAAGAGCGAGAAATCACCCCCCAGGGGAAATGGCCACAATGCAATCTCTTCTCCTCCATTCTCCTCTCGGGATCTTGGGCACGCACGCACACGTGCCAAGCGTGAGTTTAAAGCCACCAGGTCTACGTGGAAGTCCAGTGAGATAGCCATTATGCTAACTGCTAGTCCCAATAAACTTTTTTAAAAGCAGAATTTTGAGGAGATATTTGCAAACCCACATTCGTAGCAGCGTTGTTGACAGTGCAGGAGGAGGAGACTGGTGACCCCAGCATTGTGGGAGGCTGCGCACCAGCGAATTATTGCAGGTTTCTCAGAGAGCAAACAATTACACAGTGACAAAGGCCATGATTGGCTCCCCTTCAAAACCTCACCTTCAAAACCATACTCTGATTGGCCACTTCCCATAGCAAATCGGTGAACTTAGAATCCCTCAGATTTGCATATCTGGCACCTCATGATTGGTCCACAAAGCAACCAATCATAACCCACCTTTTACAATTCTTCATTCAACCAATCACTGCCCACCAACATGTATATAACCACAATCCCTGGCACACAATAGACAGACGACCCTGAAGACCCGAATACCGCGTCATCTCCGGACGACCCTGAAGAGCTGTGACACTGTGTTGTCTCCGTGCTGCCCACAATAAATGGACGACCCTGAAGAGTTGTAACACTGCATCGTCTCTGTGTTGTAACACTGCTCCATTCATCCCGTCTCTCACTCCTTCCCTTAGGAAACCTGTTTGACTGTTCTGTAGGTCGGGACACAGCATAGCCTTCGACTAGCCGCCTCGTCCACAATCATGCCCTTCTTGGGGGCAGCCTGCATCCAGTGCCAGTCCATGCAAGGAAGGAAGCTCTGGCCCACCCACTGCAACTCCGAGGCCTAGCCCAGCCCCGCGTCCCCAGGGCATCAGCTGAGGCCTGTGCTGAGGCCGTGCTGTGGTTCGGCTTTTCCCGCAACCCACACTGCTTCCTTCCTCCTCCTTCGGTGTTAGCCCTGAGACCCAGCAAGAACCGAATCTCGGCCTTGGAGTCCGTTTCCCAGAGAACCCAACCGGTGACACTCTTCGAGAAATCCTTTTCTTTAAAAAAAAAAAACAAAAGTAAGAAACCCTTTTCTGATATTATCCTTTATTTCTTTCTTTTCTTTTATATATAATTGTTTCATTGCCAGAGTGCGTGTGTGCTCATGTGAGGCAGAGAGAGAAGGGAGAAAGACTTACTGTGGCATGTGGTTTGTGCCACAATCCCTTCTCCATTTCTCCATCCCATCAGGACTTGGGTCATGTGTACACACACTTAGCATGATTTCCTTTCCTTTTCTTTTTTTTTTTTTTTTTTTTTTTTTTTTTGCATTTTTGCTTTAGGGTGCATGCACCGGAGAGACAGAGAGAGACAGTGAGAGAGAAAGTGAGATATCACCTCCTCTCCAGGGAAGATGGAGATGCTGAAATCCCTTCTCCTCCATTCTCCTCTCGAGATTCTTAGCACACACGTACATGTACCTGGAGTGATTTTCAAATCGCCAGGTCTGGGACTCAAGCCGTGGTCACAAAA